AAAAAAAACGCCTAGACCACAAGCGCCGGTAAACAAAAAAGGCTTTGGGTAAGTGCCAAGCCAAATAGCTCGCTCACCTTGTGAGATAGATAAACTCGAATAAGGAGCTCTGAAGGTAACACGTCTAATCACTTTTGACAATTTTAAACAGTCAAGCCTTAGTGTATGATTTTTGTGTAAAAGCATGACTTGATATCCTTAAATCGAAAGTATTTCTTTAGAAAATCAAAGCGTTTTCAATCAGATATGTAGAGATCAAAGAATGTATGAAACATGAAATCAGAGTTCGAACCTTCACGAAACCATTATTGCTCTTTCAACAGTAAAAAGCCCGAAGCAACGAAGTTTTGACTGATGCAACCTTAGAAAGGAAATCCAGCAAAACTGTTCACCACATGACAGATTTCATGATCTAAGCAAAAGTAGTCGTGCCAAGTAGTACGTAGTTTAGGTGCTGATATTCAGGGATATTAGCATGCGAGTACGACGACGTTTCCCAACGTTAGACACTATAGTCGCTGCAGGTACCTTTAATTGAATTAGTTCTACCACTTGATAAGCGAGACTGTTATTCAGGTTTTTTAATGCCCCATGAAAAAGAGATTCTCGAATCGTACAAGGATAAAGCAAACACTCCCAAATACTGGATTCCAGCCAATTGGGCACTTACAATGACATACCAGGCTTGGAAAGATGGCCACATTGAAAATGCTTATTACAAATGTGTACTTCAGGAAGTAACTCACTTCCAGCATGATCATGATGATAGCTTTAGGAGCGATTTATAGGAGATCAAGAAGTGGCGCACTAACTTGGAGTGGGTCTTCAACTATGACTGGGTGCCACTTCCTTTAATGTATCCTCAGGTGCGCACTACATGGCAATAATCACCTTGCTCTTTACTTACTCTTCTTCTTTGTTTTAAAGTGGAGATTAAGTAGTAAGATAACTGTGAGATAGCAGTTGTTCGCGGGAATTAGTAATGCAAAAAAATGGTTCTCTGTATCCTGGAATTCGTAATCAGTGAAGATACGATCGAACCAGATAAGATTAAATTACAAAGTACTCCACATGGCGACATGCCTGCGAAAAAATTTTTCCCAGTATCAATCTGAAAAAATATAGGCGTAGAACTTCAGGTGATCTGCCTTGCTGTTCACCTATATTTTATCGTCTGCCTGCTCTCCCGTCAAATCATAGTAGTGGAGCATGAAACGAAAAACGAGGTACACAGAAGTTTTATACTTTTTTGTCTACCTGCTTGATTTAGAAGAACTGCATAGATCTGAGCGTCATTTATGAGATAATTTTTTCTGATGAAAAGTTGGAATGAAGCACCTATCCAAAGTTTGTGCCTGTTTCAAGAAAAAATAACAATTAAAAAACGCGCGGTCATTCATATGCAAACATGCACAAGTTTTCATTTTCAAAATCGAATACGCTTCTTCAAATAAAAAAAA